AGCAGTTCTTCCAACACCAACAGCAGCCGCAATCTCTCCAGCCTCACCCGCCACAGTTTCTCCATCCCCAGCAGCAGCAGTCCTTCCAGCCGCAGCAGCGGCAGTCCTTCCAGCAGCAGCAGCTGCCACAGTTCCTTCCACCGCAGCAGCAGCAGTCCTTCCTGCAGCAGCAGCAGCCACAGTCTCTCCAGCCGCAGCAGCAGCAGTGCTTCCAGCAGCAGCAGCTGCCACAGTTCCTTCCGCCGCAGCAGCAGCAGTCCTTCCAGCAGCAGCGGCAGCCACAGTTTCTTCAGCCGCAGCAGCAGCAGTGCTTCCAGCAGCAGCACCAGCCACAGTTCTCTCCATCCGCAGCAGCAGCAGTGCTTCCAGCAGCAGCAGCCACCACAATCTCTCCAGCCGCAGCAACCGCGGCAGCATCGGCGGTGCTTCCAGCAGCAGCAGCAGCCCAATCTCTCCAGCCGCAACCGTCACAGTCTCTCCCACCGCAGCAGCTGCAGCAGCAACAGTACTTACAGCAGCAGCACCCGCCGCTCTCTCCCTCTTCTATCCATGAAACAACTCTCCAGTACTCTGTGTTCCCTCCCTCTCCTTCCCCCCCCACCCTGGACTTTGTCCTTGACAGTGGGGCCACCGAAACCGCACTAAAAGACGCTGGCACCTTCACCCCCCTTCCACTTCCCACTCAGGTTCATGGTGCCGACTCCAGCTTTTCCATCCCCTGCACTCACCTCTCCACCCTTCCTTGCACCGCCTTCCCATCCGGTACAGTCACCGGTCTCCACATCCCTACCCTTCGCAATAACCTCCTCTCCCACCGTGAACTCCAAGGCGTTGGCATTACCGCCATATACCCTGGCTTTGCTTCCTACTGCGATCTCTACCACACCGCCTCTGGTCGTTTCCTCCTGCGCATTCCCCTTTGCCCTCGCACTCGCCTTTACACGCTCCGCACACCCCGTCCCTCCTTTTGTCACGTCACCACTCGTGCTGGTACTTCCACCGGTCCCCTTCTCCCTCCCCCTCACCCTCCCCCTCCCCCTCCTCCGATATCCTCCTCCTCTACTCCATCCGCCTCCTCCTCCCCCCCCAACTTTTCCCCCACCCCATCCCCCTCCTCCTCTACTGCCCTCTCCCATCCTGCAGTGCTCCTACATCACAGACTCGGCCATCCCAACTTCGCCGCACTTCGCTCCACCGTCACCTCTCGCCTCCTTCAGAGCCTTCCTCCCACCTTACCTCCCCTCCCCTCCTCCCCTGCTCCCCCATGCCCATCATGCATTCATGGCAAGCTCAAACAGTCCCCCCATCACAGTCATCCCACCTTCGCTCCCGCCCCCATTGACCTTGTTCACATGGATCTCTGGGGCCCTTACCCCATCCGCTCCCGTCAGGGGCACAGGTACATGCTCGTGCTCGTCGACGACCACAGTCGGTACTCCACCGTCTTCTTTCTTCACACGAAAGACCAGGTGCCGGCTGTGGTCATCAACTGGGCTGAGCAGTGCCGCAACCACTTCAAACGTCCCATAGGCCGCCTTCATTCTGACGGTGGGGGTGAGTTCATCAATCATACTCTCTACACTTACTGCAAAACATACGGCATTCAGCAGACCACCACCCTTCCCCACTCCCCTCAGCAAAACGGCATCGCTGAGAGTCGCATCCGTGAGATCACCAAGATTGCGCGCTGCCTCATTGCTCACGCCTCCACCCCTCCCTCCCTCTGGAGCTATGCCCTCATTCATGCCGCCCTCCTCCTCAATCTCCGCTCCCACCCTCAGCATCCCTCCTCCTCCCCCACAGAACTCTGGTCCAAGGCCAAGCCTGACGCCGCAGGCCTTCGTGTTTGGGGCTGCAAGGCGTTCGTCCTCATTCCACCGGCCGACCGCTCCCGCGCTGCTGGCAAGCTCGCTCCTCGCGCTCTGGAGTGCGTCTACCTTGGGCACAATCGTGATTCCCCAGGCTACCTATTCCTCCACCCTCCCACCAATCGCCTCATCCGCAGCATTGACGTCGTCTTCGACGAGTCCACTCCCTACTACTCCACCCCTCCTCCTGACCCCCTCCCTCCTCCCACTCGCCCCCTCGCTTGGACCGACACCATCCTCCCGCCTCTTATCCCTCCAGCGGCTCTCCTCCCACCTGTCGCCGCTCCACTCCCGCCTTCCTCCTCTGCCGACGTCTACGACCCTGCCGCACCCGCCTCCCCCGCTCACTCAGCTGCACCCCCTCCCCCCTCTCCCTCCTCCTCTCATTCTCCTCCTTTCCAGCAGCCGGATCAGCAACAGCAGGGGCAGCAGCAGCAGCAGCAGCAGCCGGATCAGCAACAGCAGGGGCAGCAGCAGCACCAGCAGCAGCAGCAGCAGCAGCGGGAGCAACACCAGCAACGGCAGCAGGGGCAGCAGCAGCAGCAGCCGGGGCAGCAGCAGCAGCAGCAGCCGGAGCAGCAGCAGCAGCAGCAGCAGCCGGGGCAGCCGCATCAGCAGCAGCCGGGACAGCAGCAGCAGCAGCATCAACAGCAGCAGCACCAGCAGCAGCAGCGGCGCCGTGCCACTTCCCGCTCCTCCCCCTTCCTCCTCCCTTACATCCATACCCGCTCGGTGGACAAAATCCTTGGGGCTCCTCCTCCTGCCTCCATTCAGCTCCTTGAGGACTCCCATGAGGAGTTCCTCAACATTCGGGAGCACACTCCATTCCTTGCCGCCCTCTACCTTGACTTCCTGGGCTTTCCTGTCCTTGGCGCCACTACTACCCCCACCATCTTCACTCCCTCCACCTTCCAGGAAGCCATCACCTGCCCTGATGCGGATAAATGGATAGCAGCGATCTTCCTGGAGTGTGAGGCTTTCATTCGCAACGACTCCTTTGTCGATGTCCCCCTCCCTGCTGGCGCTAATCTCGTTGACGGCAAATGGGTCTTTCGGGTGAAGCAGCTGCCGGGCGAGGAACCAGTGTACAAGGCCCGCTACTGCGCCAAGGGGTTCACGCAGACTTGGGCTGAGGACTACTGGTTCACCTACGCCCCCACCGCCAAACCACCCACCCTTCGCGCCGCCATGGACATTGGTGCACGTGACGACATGGAAATCGACTCCATGGACGTCTCCAATGCGTTCCTGCAGGGCGACCTGCATGAGCGCATTTTCCTCCGGCGACCCCCCGGGTTCCACGCAGCCTTTCCTGAGAACACTGTCTGGCAGCTGCGTCGCCCCGTCTACGGCTTGAAGCAGGCACCGCGTGAGTGGCATGCGAAGCTGGCTGCCACCTTGGGGTCCCTCGGCTTCTCTGCTTCCCACTCCGACGCCAGCCTCTTCATCCGCTCCTCCCCCCGCCGCTTCTTCATTCTGGTATATGTCGACGACATGATCCTGCTCTCTGACACCAAGGCCGACATGGAGCAGGTGAAGCTGTCCCTGCAGCAGCGGCTCAAGTGCAAGGACCTTGGCGCCCTCACTCACTACCTCGGCATGACCATCACGCGCAACCGCCCTGCTCGCACAATCACTCTCTCCCAGTCCCATTACATCGGCCAGGTCTTGGAGAAGTTCGACATGGCGCAAGCCAAGCCTGTTTCCACCCCGCTCCCCTTCGGTCACCAACTCGCTCCACCCACCTCCCCCACCTCCTCCCCCCACCCCTATGCCGAGCTCGTTGGGTCCTTGATGTACGCAATGATGTGCACCCGCCCCGACCTCGCCTACCCCATCAGCGTGCTCGCTCGCTTTGTCGGCACCGGTCGTCACTCTGAGGAGCACTGGAAAGCTGCCAAGCGGGTCCTCCGCTACCTTCGCGGGACCAGGGACCTTGCCCTCACCCTCGGCGGCCCTTCCCGTCCCCTTCTCTCGGGCTTCAGTGACTCCTCATGGGCTGACACGCAGCCGGACCGCCGCTCCTCCCAGGGCTACGGCTTCACCCTTGGCAGCGGCCTCATCAGCTGGCGCTCCACCCGCTCCTCCGCCATCTCTCTCTCCACCTGCGAAGCCGAGCTCTACGCTGGCACCATGGCCGCCCAGGAGTCGCGCTGGCTCTGCTTCCTTCTTGTGGAGCTTGGCGCCCCCCAGACGTGCCCCACTCTCTGGTGCGACAACGCCAGCACCATCCATCTCACTCAGGACCCCGTCTATCACGCCCGCTCCAAGCACATCGAACTCCGCTACTTCTTCGTTCGCGAGCTCGTCCAGAAGGGCCTCATTGCCGTTCGCAAGATTGCAACCGAGGCCAACTTGGCCGACATCTTCACTAAGGCCCTCCTTCGCCCCGCGCACTCTGCCTTCCTCCGCCTCATTGGCCTTGCTCGCCCGGGCGCCCCTTGATTCAGGGGTTGTTCTCTTCTTGTGTTAGCATGCTAAGGGGTTGTGTTAAAATATATATTGTGTAGCATGCCAACACATGTGACTGTACACCAATTGTGGTGTACAGTTGGGTTGGGACTACACCCAACTTTGGGTGTAGTCTTGCACTTTGGGGTGCCAATCCACCCAATTGTGGTGGAGCCCCCAAATGCAACCCTCTTGACTTGTGGGTACCTCACTTCCCACAATTGAGGTTACCCCAAGCCAAGTGGGCCTAGGGTTGCCTCACTTCTACAAAGTGTGGGCAACCCAACCCACTTGACCTATGGTTCTCTCACTTCCCCAAGTGAGGTCAACCCAACCTATGGTCACTTTCATCCTTCCCTTCCAACCTTCCCTTCGAACTATGTATGCTAGGTTGTTCCTCTAATCTAATCACTTGTTCAATTTGCTACTTTCACAGTACACAGTGGTGAGCGAGTATGACATGGGTTTCTTTGACTCCTGTTGCCATGAAGTGCATGCACATTGAGGCATGTTCCCTGCACCTTCGATGCACTTTCCTTGCACCTTCCCTGCACCTTCCCTGCACGTTCGCAGCACCAGCCACCGCCCTTCCCCTGTTCTGCCAGCACCAGCTCTCTCCTGTTGTTCCCGCTACCGCACCAACTTCCCTCCACCGCACTGCACTCCCCTCCACCCCATCAGGTCCCACGAGGGCATGTGTGGTTGCAAGGAGACAATCTCTTCAACTCCACTGACTCTCGCCACTACGGCCCCGTGCCGCTTGCTCTGGTCAAGGGACGAGTGTTCTACAGAGTGAGTGAGAGGGAGCAGAGGATATAGGGAGAGCATAGAATGGAGAGCACATGTAGTTAGTTGCAAGGCCACTATTTCTTCAACTCCAAAGACTCTCGGCAGTGTGGCCCGGTGCCCCTTGCCCTTGTCAAGGGAAGAGTCTTCTACAGAGTGAGCGAGGGGGAGTGAGTCTATTTTTGAGGCGCCCCAGAACTAGTCTTCTACAGAGTGAGTGAGCGGGAGTGAGAGAGAGTGAGGGCGAGAAGAGCATAGAGGGATAGCATAGAAGGGAGGCCACGTGTTGCTGCAAGGAGACAATCTCTTCAACTTCACTGACTCTTGTCGTCACTACGGCCCTGTGCCCCTTGCATTAGTCAAGGGAAGAGCCTTTTACAGAGCGATTGAGGGGGAAGGGAGGATAAAGGGAGAGGGTTAAAAGCTACAAGACAGAACACGCGTGGCTGCAAGGAGACAATCTCTTCAATTCCACTGACTCTCGCCACTACGGCCTCGTGAGTGAGTGAGGGAGAGTAGAGGATAGAGGGAGAGGGTTGAAAGCTACAAGACAGAGCACGCGTGGCTGCAAGGAGACAATATTTTTAATTCCACTGACGCTCGCCACTACGGCCCCGTGCCCCTTGCATTAGTCAAGCGCGGGTCTTCTACAGAGTGAGTGAGGGGGAGTAGAGGATAGAGAGAGAGAGCATAGAATGGAGAGCGCGTGTGGCTGTGGGGAGGCAATCTTTTCAACTCCACCTACTCTCGCTCGCCACTACGGCCTCGTGCCCCTTGTGTTAGCCAAGCGCGGGTCTTCTACAGAGTGAGTGAGGGGGGGGGGGGAGGAGTAAGGGATCACAGCCTCTCACTTCAGAGTCCACTTGGCCTATGGGCTACGACCGGTCACATGCCCCTTGTGTTAGCCAAGGGCAGGTCTTCTACAGAGTGAGTGAGGGGGAGTAAGGGTTCACAGCCTCTCACTTCAAAGCCCACTTGCCCTAAGGGCTACGACCAACCCCGTGCCGCTTGCCCTGGTCAAGCGCAGGTCCTCTACAGAGTGAGTGAGAGGGAGTAGAGGATAGAGGGAGGGCGTAAAAGGGTAAAGGACAGAGCACGTGCCGCCCTTGCATTAAGGGGAGGCTCTTTGACAGAATGTCGTATGGGGGAGAATTAATTGCAGAAAGGTAGGAAGAGGTGTTGTTCTACAGAGTGACTCAGTGAGTGAGTGGAGAGCAAGGTAGGGCAGTGGGTAGGTACATTGATGTTAAATAGCAGGACCATAGTTATCCGCTTTTTTTGGGCGGGGTGGGTGGGAGAGGGGAAGAAGGGGGAGGGGGGGATGGGTTCATTTTGCTTCTTCCTGTATCCCCCAATTGAACTGGCTGCCCTTTATGTCTTCATCCCCCCTTCCCCAGGTATGGCCTCCCAGGGATTGTGGTCCAGTGCGATGAGATGAATCCTAGATTCGCGTTGAGAACACCAGCTGGCAGCTTCCCCTCATTCTCCCACCGAGTAAAGCTCCAGATGCAAGTTGTTTTACTGTTAACCAAATGTCCGGTAAAGCTAGGCAAGATATACATCTATTTTGTGGCACACGCTTAACCCAAGATACAGAGCAGGTCACATAATCTTTGTACCAGAAAAGAATGAGTTAAAGCTCGCGTCTCATATTTCTGCCATCCAACCAAGTGTTAAACGGTTGGAATCCGGTAACAGCAGAGTTTGTCGCAAAGCACACCAAAGCAAGGGGTGGTTTGGGAAAGTTGGCTGTCGCACACTTCCCCGTGCACACCAAGTGTTAACAACTCTCGAAAATATGAGACTCTGAACTCAACGTTGACAGAACCCGGGACCAAACCTGTCCCCCTTGGCTCGTTTTCCACCCAAACCAACCCACCCTGGTTTGTTTTGGCCTCGACTGTTTGGGAGTTCGCTGTGTTTTTTTCACCCACTCGTCAAATAATTCGTCATTCGTTACCCAATCACAGACGGGAAAACCCAACCAAGTGTTAAAAGGTTGGAAATCTGAGACGCGAGCTTTAATAAAAGGTTTCGAACATGAGGAGCATGCAGCTTAAATGGCATAAACATATGAATTTGCTTTCAGCCCACCATACAATACAACCCACTGTCAGTCCTCCGAGTCAGTTCTTTACGGGAATTCCTGCACGGGCATGACCTTCCTGGCGCGGCCATACGCGGTATAAGCGCAGTCCACAGCAAGCACATCGCTCGCCTCGTAGGACCGGGGTGTCCCATCCAAAAAGCCCTTCCCCTCCGCGCCATCGGCGGAGATCGGACGGTGCAGGTTCGCGACGAGGCGCTGGAAATCCGCGGCGCGGGCAGCGTGGTCTGCGCGGTATGTTTGCCCGAGCACACCGTGAATCTCCTCCGTATGCTCGAGCTCGGCAATCCCGACGTTGATGTGCGCCTCGGCATCCGTGGGGGTCTGGAGCTTGGGATGCGCGACGCGCAGGCGCAGGTCGAGGGTAATTAACCCTGCGATGGACAGCATGTAATAATCCACATCGAACGGCCCCTCCTTCTCCAACCCGCGGAATTCGATCGTCAGTCCACCGTCGCTGGTAACCCTATCGCCAAACTGCATGCGCGGAATCTCCTCGCCGTCAATCTCGATGCTCTTCACGAACCCGTCGCCGCGCTCCTGCTGCTTGCCGCCGCGCGCCGCGATCCGGAACTTACGGTCCACGCCTCCAGCCGTCCACACAATACCCAGCTCCTTAATCCACGTGTGCACGGCCTTCCCGTCAACAACAAGTGCCGCATTATCGGTGTTCTCGTCATAATAACCCCTCAGGAGCATGTTCATGTGAAGGTTCCTGTCGGTGAGCAGGCAGAACGCCTTGTCGGGCCGGCCGTTGAAGTCGAAATGCGTGCCTTGCGCGCCGACCAGATGCGGGTCGTTAAGAATTTTCGGGCTAGGGTTACACTCGCCGCCGATGCGCACCTGGAGATGCACGGGCTTCGTCTCGGTACTGTACTGCGCGGTCATCTCACCGCACGTGAAATCAATCTGGTCGTGAATCAAATAGCACGCGCCTTTGCCCTTCTTCCCGTCGATGGTAATATCGGGAATGTACTGCCAATACGTGCAGAGCGGGGTCGCGGCGCAGGTGTTGCAGCACGACGCGGGGTTCGCCTTGAGCAGCGTCAGCGGGTTACCCGGTACGTACAATTCGTAACCGAGCTTGTTCTTCTGCAGATACGCGGTTTTCCACTTGGCCGCAATTCCGCCCTTGGAGCAATTTTTCGGAGTGCACGCGCCCGCAAGCTCCTTGTTCAGACCGGGGGGGCATTTCTGCGCGTTCCACCCGGCCTTTTTCACGTCAGCCATGAAAAACGAATCCTGCGCGGTATCGACGTATGTTACACCTGCCGCGTTACCCGTCGCAGCCTGTTTCGCGATGTCTTGCGGTATGTCTGTCATGAGCCCGTCGTCCTTCTTTCCGCTCGGATCGGGTTTCTCATTCGCGGAGGAGCTCGTGATGGGGCTTCCGGCGCGCGCGAAGACGACGAGCAGCGCAAGGGAGAGCACTAGAAGCGCAGATCGAGCCATTCTGACGAGCTACTACTATAGTGAGGACGATTGGGCGCAAACAATTTACTGGTTTCAACTCAGTTGCTTCAATTGCGTTGTTTGCAATTCACTATGATCAAATTCCGATTGAGGGGTGAATTTATATGCGTCATATTCACTGAAGTGCTTTGGCATTCCTGCGTTGGGATTGGTTGGATGACGTCCAGGGAGCGAGGTTAATGCGGCGCGGTGCCTTGTAACAATGAAGGTCGAACCGCAGGTTTCTGAGTCAATTCGACCTGACCTCGAGGCTCGGTGATTTCAACCTGTAAAGCGACCTGGTTCTCCGTTGGATTCAAGCGCAGGTGTGACCTTCACCATGTGCGTGGTTGAAGGACGGAGGCGCAGGTACAACCTTCACCATGTGCGTACAGTATCTCTTGGATTGTGCGTGCATCTACCCCTCCACTTCTCGAACAGCCTCTTGCTGCCGAGTACCGGAACTACACCATTTCTCCTGTCTCAAGAGTGTTCCTGGCACCTTTACCACATACCTAACAGTAAATAAAATGTAAATTTCTGAATGATCTTGTTGCACGTTAAATAAAGGAGCTGAACATAGTTGATTTTAGCAATTGTAACATATCTTGTACATCCCTTCACATACATGCCTTTTTTAAGGCTTGAACGTGGGAGCGCTTATCCTCCGCACATGGCCCTCATACATACACCAACCAAGACACATGGTCATTGTAAGGATACTCCTCTCTCTTTCTCTGTAGGTACTGAAGCCCATTCTCTACCTCCCTTTTCCATGCAAACCCATCTCAAGGCTTGAACGTGGGACCCTGCCTCTCCCCTCCGCACGTGGCCTCATACACCAATCACAACACAGGGTCATTGTATGGATCCTCCTCCCTCCCTCTTCCCCAGCAGATAATGAGGTCCATTCTTTACCTTGTTACATACAGATACTGAAGCCGCGTTACATACAGACTTCCGTCAAGGCTTAAACGTGGGAGCCTGCTTCTCCCCTCCCCACGTGGCCTCATAAAGCAATCGCGGCACAGGGTCATTGTACGGATCCTCCTCCCTCTTCCTCAGCAGATACTGCAGTCCCTCTTGCACCTCCCCTTACATACAATTCTCTGTCAAGGCTTAAACGTGGGAGCCTGCTTCTCCCCTCCCCACGTGGCCTCATAAAGCAACCGCGGCACAGGGTCATTGTATGGATCCTCCTCCCTCTTTTTCAGAAGATACTGCAGCCCACCCTCCACCTCCCCCTTCACATGTGCATACAGCTCTGCTGCTGCTGCCTTGTCTGTTAGCAGGTGCTTCATGCCTGGTTGGAAAGGAAATCAGGGGGGTGAGGATGGGTGGGGATGGGGGGTTGGTAGGGAAGGGAGTCAGAAGAGCTTTTCCTTTCATGGGTCCTCCTCCCTCTTTTTCAGAAGATACTGCAGCCCACCCTACACCTCACCCTTCACATGTGCATACAGCTCTGCTGCTGCTGCCTTGTCTGTTAGCAGGTGCTTCATGCCTGGTTGGAAAGGGGTTCGGGATGGTGTGGATGGGTGTAGATTTGTGTGGATGGGTGGGGATGTGGGGTTTGGTAGGTAAGGAGGGGAAAGAGTGTTGGGTTGTAAGGATCCTCCTCCCTCTTCCTCAGCAGGTACTGCAGCCCGTCTTACACCTCTCCCTTCACATGTGCATACAGCTCTGCTGCTGCTGCCTTGTCTGTCAGTAGGTGCGACATGCCTGGGGAGGAGGGGAAAGGGTGGATGAGTGGGGAGGGGAAGAAGGAGGGAGAGGAGGGAGAAGAGTGCTTGAGTGTTTGCCTGTAACGCATACCCTGCAGACAATCTTACACCTCCGTTCTCACCCTTTGTTCTGATGAGCGCCCCGAATAGGAAGTAGAGGCGGTTGAGCCCCTTGGGCGCCACGACTGGCGGGATGAACTGCTCTGCTGCCGCCCCTCAAGTCACCACCACCACCACTACCACTGCACCTGTTTCACCGCCGCTACCAGCTCTCACCTTTTGTTCTGATGGGCGCTCCGAAGAGGAAGTAGAGGCGGTTGAGGCCTTTGGGGACCACGACTGGTGGGATGAACTGCTCTGCTGCCGCCCCTCAAGTTATCACCACTATCACTGCCTCTTGGGCCACCACGGCCACTACCACTGCACCTGTTTCACCGCCGCTACCAGCGCTCACCCTTTGTTCTGATGGGTGCCCCGAAGAGGAAGTAGAGGCGGTTGAGGCCTTTGGGGACCACGACTGATGGGATGAACTGCTCTGCTGCCGCCCCTCAAGTTATCACCACTATCACTGCCTCTTGGGCCACCACGGCCACTACCACTGCACCTGTTTCACCGCCGCTACCAGCACTCACCCTTTGTTCTGATGGGTGCCCCGAAGAGGAAGTAGAGGCGGTTGAGGCCTTTGGGGACCACGACTGGTGGGATGAACTGCTCTGCTGCTGCCCCTGCTGCTGCTGCATCCCTGCAAATTTCAGGTAGGATTTTACAACGGAACAGAAAGTGGAGTTCAATCAGTGGTGTGGAAAGAAGCAAGGACCCCATTGAGTGAAATATGGGCCATCATGTCTGCTCCACCCCTCTGAACATCTATGCACCACACTGCATCTACTGCCCCAGAAGGTCATGCCTGCACGCCCTCTACTGCCAAGGGGAAATGACGGGAGCGTTAGGCATTTGACCGCACTGCACCACACTAGACCTTCACTGTCAGGCTTTCCTGCTCTGCACAACCAACCACCCCCCTGAACCACACTGCACTGCACCTTCACTGCACTGCACCATTATCCATACCTGACTCTCGGCCATGATTGCACGCCCTCCACTGCCATGGGGCCGATGATGGTCACGCTGGGCACGTCATCGCAATGCCCCCCACCACTGCACTTCACTGCTGTTAATCGCACTACACCGCACTGAACCCGGCTCAAACCTACCTCACTCTAGGCCATGCCTGCACGCCCTCCACTGCCATGGGGCCGATGATGGGCACGTCGGACACTTCATCCGCATCTACGAGAATAAGAATCGGGTGTTACCGCTCTGCACCTTAACCACTGGGGCAATACCGCACAGCACCGCACTGCACTCCACTGAACCCTACCTGACTCTGGGCCATGCCTGCACGCCCTCCACTGCCATGGGACCAATGACGGGCACACTGGGCATTTCGTCCGCATCTACTAGAATCTGCAAGTATTCGAAAGGGGGAGATGAATATGGAACAAAATGGCCTTTACAGCTGGATCAGGCTGTCATAATGACTATACGTTTACAGGCCTAACAGTTGTGGGTACTACTCCCACCCCACTTACATTAAACCCTTCGTCCACGCCAATGCATGGAAACAGGATGATTGTTGCTTCATGCTTTGCCCTTATTACGTCTATCACACCCCCTACAGTCAGTCACACACACCCCCTCCCTCCCTCCCTCCCACTCACATCGAACCCATCGTCCACACCAATGCATGCGAAGGGGATGATTGTTGCTTCGTGCTTTGCCTGTACTTCACAAAAACACCACATGAAACAGAAAGCAGCAAAACATGAAGAACTAATAAAACAACACTGTAGATGAAGCAAATACACACACAGAGCCCCTCGGAGATGTGTTGAAAAGACCAGACATGTTTATGGCACTTTATGTAGCTATAGAAGTTTGGAGACGCCTTAGAGTACAAGATGTGTGAGAGAGAGAGAAATTGTAACGACCAGAATCACGCCTTTCATCCCAATCGACCAACCATGGAACAATTACCACGCGTTGTAGAACCAACATGTTTTGATATCTTGCCACGTAGAATCAGTTGTGAGTTACTCTGCAACGAATCACTCAGTAATGAAGCGCAACTCACCGCCATGCGAACAAACTCTGCTCGCTCAGGCCAAAACAGTTGATAGTCCTCTCCCTGCGGGCGACACAGCAGAAACAAAAAAAAAGGTAGAAAGTGATATCTATTGCCAGAAGCCATATACAAGTCAGCGATAGAAAGTGGTAGCCTTTGCCAGAAATGATTTTTTTCTAGTCAACGAAAAGAATTTTCTTTTGGCGATGAGACTAAGCAAATGAGCGTCAGTTTTCCATAACCCAAATGCCTTCACCAAACCCCACCCACCCCCACCCATCCCACCCGCCCACACACGACGTAATACCATTCCTGCACACTCCCTTCCCCAACTCCCCTTATCAACACAAAAGCACCACAACACGAGTTCAATCAACCCACAGGCACCTTCCAGACGCCCACAATCACCTGCTCACCCCACCGCACCCCACCGCACCGCACCGCACCCCACTCAACAATCGCTCACCCTCTTCTTCAGAGCCTCCCGAACGCCTCCAGGAAACAGCAGCGCAGCTTCCTTGTTGGCGAGAACCTTGTACGTGTTGGCGGGGGTGACAGGCACCGCTCCGAACACCTTGTACTGCTCGCCCTGCTCCACCAGCATGTTGATATCGTGGAACTGCGGGATCAGGGTTTAGGGTTTGTGGGGCATATGGGGCATGTGCATGGACAATGTCTTAAGGGGTGACAGGCACGGCTTCGAACACCTTGTACTGCTCGCCCTGCTCCACCAGCAGGTTGATATCGTGGAACTGTGGTTACAGGGCATTGGGTGTTGGGTTTGGGGTTAAAGCGTTTGTTCAGGTTGCAGCAGCAGCTTCCTTCCTTGTTGGCGAGAACTTTGTAGGTGTTGGCGGGGGTCACAGGGACGGCTCCGAACACCTTGTACTGCTCGCCCTGCTCCACCAGCAGGTTGATATCGTGGAACTGAAGGTATAAGGGGTTAGGGTGTAGGGTATAAGGGGTTAGGGTATAGAGTATAAGGGGTTAGGGCATTGGGTTCTTCACAGTCAAGGGGTCACAGGGACTGCTCCAAACACCTTGTACTGCTCACCCTGCTCCACCAGCAAGTTGATATCGGGGAACTGAAGGTATGGGTTACAGGGGGCATGGGGCAAGAGGTACGAGGCAAGGGCATTGGCACGGGTCACAGGGACAGCCCCAAACACCTTGTACTGCTCGCCCTGCTCCACCAGCAAGTTGATATCGTGGAACTGCGGGAATGGGGTATAAGGGGACAGATTTTGGATGTTTTGTTGAGTACATCCCACCAGGTTTGCGTGTGCACTCACCATTTTGATGGCTAGAGGGTGCGTCAGGCCTCTATTCTAACCACCACGCCATGCGCCATGAGCTCTGATACCAAAACGCCAATCTCCGACGCCAAGTCTGGTGGGTGGTTTATCTATCCCTATGCACTCACCATCTCCATAGCTAGAGGGTGCACCAGACCAGCCCCCTCACCACCAAGCCGTGCGCCATGAGCTCTTATACCGAAACGCTCATCTCCGACGGCAGAGTCTGGTCTGGTGGTTGCATGCAAGGAAAGTACACTCACTCACTGCTACTATTCCCCCTATGCCACTTCCCCAGTGTCTGGTGGTGGTTGGTTGGTTTGGCCTGCGAATTCTGCATGTGCACTCACCATTTCGATGGCTAGGGGGTGTGCCAGCCATCTGACCACCACGCCGTGCGCCATGAGCTCTGATACCAACACACTCATCTCCGGCGCCAGGGTCTGGTGGTCGCGGGGTGTGTACACTCACTCACTGCTACTATTCCCCAGTGTCTGGTGGTTGGCTGGTCTAGTACTCCTAGTCTGGTGGGTGCCCACAAACAGCAGTGAGCCAGCCCACAAACAACAGTGAGCCAGCTGGTTTTGAAGTGATGTACTCACCATTTCGATGGCAAGGGGGTGCGCGAGGCCTCTAACCACCACGCCGTGCGCCATGAGCTCTGATACCAATACGCTCATCTCCGGCGCCAGCGTCTGGTGGTCGCAAGGTATGTACACTCACTCACTGCTACTATTCCCCAGTGTCTGGTGGTTGGCTGGTCTAGTACTCCTAGTCTGGTGGGTGCCCACAAACAGCAGTGAGCCAGCCCACAAACAGCAGTGAGCCAGCTGGTTTTGAAGTGATGTACTCACCATTTCGATGGCAAGGGGGTGCGCGAGGCCTCTAACCACCACGCCGTGCGCCATGAGCTCTGATACCAATACGCTCATCTCCGGCGCCAGCGTCTGGTGGTCGCAAGGTATGTACACTCACTCACTGCTACTATTCCCCAGCGTCTGGTGGTCGCAAGGTATGTACACTCTCTCACTGCTACTATTCCTCAGTGTCTGGTGGTTGGCTGGTCTAGTACTCCTAGTCTGGTGGGTGCCCACAAACAACAGTGAGCCAGCTGGTGAAGTGATGTACTCACCATTTCGATGGCAAGGGGGTGCGCGAGGCCTCTAACCACCACGCCGTGCGCCATGAGCTCTGATACCAAAACGCTCATCTCCGGCGCCAGAGTCTGGTGGTTGCCCACAAACAGCAGCGGCCGCTCGCAGGCTGGCAATCCCTCTAAGCCCACCACCACCCGCTGCCGCTGCCGCTGCTCTTGCTGCTGCTTCTGCTGCTGCTTCTTGAAGCGAGGTTGCTTTTGAGACGTCTCAAAAGCTCCCTCTAAGCCCACCACCACCCGCTGCCGCTGCCGCTGCTCTTGCTGCTGCTTCTGCTGCTTTTGGTGCTGCTCTGTTGATATACTGCTGCTGCTGCTGCTACTTCTACTGCTTGCATTTCCATTTTGCGAGTCCGAAACAGCGGCTCCATTACCAGAAGCCCTGTTAATAGCAGCCCCATTACTAACAGCCCCGTTATTAGCAGCCCCGTTACTAGCAGCCCCGTTACTAGCCTCTTTATTAGCAGCCCCATTATGACGACCTCCATTACTGGAAGATTCGCTAGCAGCAATCGCATTGCTAGGAGATTCCTCAAGAACTGTTGAGAGAAAAACGGGGCTGCAGAAGCGGCGAAGAAACCTGCATTCAGGAGTGTAGTGAAGCAAAAAAAATCATATTGGAGTAGGAGCACAGGAGGAGGGTGCTCTTGAAATGAATAATTAATTTCAATACAAACATAATTCGCCACAAGATAAAAGTGTAGTTTTGAGACGTCTCAAAATCATATTGGAGTAGGAGCACAGGAGGAGGGTGCTCGTGAAATGAATAATCAGTTTCAATACAAACATGATTTGCCACAACAACTGCAGAGAGGGACACAAGGCAGCAGACTTTTGAGTCGACTCAAAAGTCACCTCAATACAAACATGATTTGCCACAACAACTGCAGAGAGGGACACAAGGCAGCAGACTTTTGAGTCGACTCAAAAGTCACCTCAATACAAACATGATTTGCCACAACAACTGCAGAGAGGGACACAAGGCAGCAGACTTTTGAGTCGACTCAAAAATCACCTCAATACAAACATGATTTGCCACAACAACTGCAGAGAGGGACACAAGGCAGCAGACTTTTGAGTCGACTCAAAAGTCACCTCAATGCAAACATAACTTGCCACAACAACTGCAGAGAGGGACACAAGGCAGCAGACTTTTGAGTCGACTCAAAAGTCACCTCAATACAAACATGATTTGCCACAACAACTGCAGAGAGGGACACAAGGCAGCAGACTTTTGAGTCGACTCAAAAGTCACCTCAATGCAAACATAACTAGCCACAACAACTGCAGAGAGGGACACAAGGCAGCAGACTTTTGAGTCGACTCAAAAGTCACCTCAATGCAAACATAACTAGCCACAACAACTGCAGAGAGGGACACAAGGCAGCAGAAGCAGCGGGGCGAGGAGACTTTTGAGTCGACTCAAAAGTCAGCTCAGAAGCAGCGGGGCGAGGAAACTGCATCCACGAATTGCGCGAAAGGGTTTGGAGCGAAAACCTTTAAGCAGGAGGCTTTAAACCCTCTGCTCCCACCCTTCCACCCACCCACCCGTTCAGCCCTGTGGGAGGCTCAAATGCTGCCACCACAGGGTCGTCCCCTCGCCTCTCAACTCTTACAGTTCAGTTCAGAACCCTCTCCTTCTTGCCTTTTGACTTTAGAACACCTTGTTACCACTATCTACCCCTCAACACCCACCCGTTCAGCCATGATTTGGCCTGCGCTAGCTCCTGAACAGTGGGAGGATGAGATCCCGCCACCACAGGGTCATCCCCTCGCCTCTCAACTCACAGGCTCCCACTAGAAAACAGAGAATATACCTTGTTACCGTACTCAAATCCTCTCAACGCACCCGTCCAGCCCTGATTTGGCCCGAGCTAGCTCTTGGACAGTGGGAGGCTGGAAACCTGACACCACAGGGTCGTCCCCTCGCCTCTGAATGTACATGTGGGCCCCCTTGATGGTTGACGCGAGGTCTAAACCGGACTCCTGGTGGGTGTTAGAGAAGCGTGTGCAGGGGAAAGAAGAGGGGATGTCAGATTCAAGGGTTGATCGCTCGCTACAAGCCTGCCTGCAACCACAGGGTCGTCCCCTCGCCTCTGAATGTACATATGGGCCCCCTTGATGGTTGAAGCGAGGTCCAATCCTGATTCCTGGTGGAGGGTTGGGGTCAGGGTGCAGATGGTGGTAGGTAGGTAGGCCTGGTAATAAGCCAAAAAGCAAACAGGGTCGTCCCCTCGGGCCTCGCGTCTGAACGTACAGGGCCTCCCCTCGGGCCCCCATGTACATGTGCGCTCCCTCGATGGTGAAGGCAAGGTCTGGGCCTGATTCCTGGTGGGTGGGTGTGTGCATGGGGGGAAGTGGTGAGGAAACATGTACAAGTGGGGGATGTAAGAGGCTGGGGTTGACTGCTACAAGCCTGCAAGCCACCAAACAGGGTCGGTCATCCCCTCGCCTCTGAACGTACATGTGCGCTCCCTCGATGGTGGAAGCAATATCCAAGCCTGACTCCTGGTAAGAAATGGGGGAGAAGGGGGTTGGGGTAGAGGCCTCAGACCAAACAGGGTCGGTCATCCCCTCGCCTCTGAACGTACATGTGCGCTCCCTCGATGGTGGAAGCAATATCCAAGCCTGACTCCTGGTAAGAAATGGGGGAGAAGGGGGTTGGGGTAGAGGCCTCAGACCAAACAGGGTCGGTCATCCCCTCGCCTCTGAACGTACATGTGCGCTCCCTCGATGGTGGAAGCAATATCCAAGCCTGACTCCTGGTAAGAAATGGGGGAGAAGGGGGTTGGGGTATAGGCCTCAGACCAAACAGGGTCGGTCATCCCCTCGCCTCTGAACGTACATGTGCGCTCCCTCGATGGTGGAAGCAATATCCAAGCCTGACTCCTGGTAAGAAATGGGGGAGAAGGGGGTTGGGGTAGAGGCCTCAGACCAAACAGGGTCGGTTATCCCCTCGCCTCTGAACGTACATGTGCCCTCCCTCGATGGTGGAAGCAATATCCAAGCCTGACTCCTGGTAAGAAATGGGGGAGAAGGGGGTTGGGGTAGAGGCCTCAGACCAAACAGGGTCGGTCATCCCCTCGCCTCTGAACGTACATGTGCGCTCCCTCGATGGTGGAAGCAATATCCAAGCCTGACTCCTGGTGGGTGGGTGAGTGTGTCAAGATGGGAAGGTTTGAGATGCATAAGTCATTGTGCTGGTTGTGGTTGCAGCACGGTCATCTCCTCGCCTCTGATTGCACATGTGCGCCCCCCTTGACGTGAGGCGTGTTTTGAGACATCTCAAAACAAAACACCCCCCTTGATGTGAGGCGTGTTTTGAGACGTCTCAAAACACCCCCCTTGACGTGAGGCAACATCACTTTTGAGAATTCTCAAAAGCACGGTCGTCTCCTCGCCTCTAATTGCACATGTGCGCCCCTTTGATGTGAGGCAACGTCCAACCCTGACTCCTGATGAGTGTGGTGGTGGTGGTGGTGGTGGAGGGGGGAAAGGTGGAAAGGAGATGATGTGCTTTGCGCCTGTCAGTTCTGCACAGGTGTACCAGCAGCAGCGAAAAGAGCAAGGCATATCTGCAGTAGCGCATAGAGCAGCACTCACCAGCAGCAACGCACAGAGCAGCATTCACCAGCAGCAGCGCACAGAGCAGAATTCACCAGCAGCAGCGCACAGAGAAGAATTCACCAGCAGCAACGCATAGAGCAGCACTCACAAGCAGCAACGCATAGAGCAGCACTCACCAGCAGCAGCGCATGAATGAGCCCTCAGACACCCGCACAACTGTCTCCACTTTGGCCCCGGTTGAAATCACATTTTGCTTGCAACGCCACAGAACAAGGCATACCAGCAACAGCACACAGACAAACACTCACCAGCAGCAGCGCATGCCCTGAGCCCTCAAACACCCGCACCACCGTCCGGGCTTTGGCTGTGGTCAGAATCTCCTGCAAGCGAGCAGCTTCCTCCTTGCTGGGAAGAAGTTGGTCATCACTCCTGGGGAGAGCACGTGAGAGAGAGGGAGCAGACAAGAGAGAAGGAGCAACAGGGCAGAAGAACAAAGGAGTGACAGCATATAAGGCAAGGCAGTGACGACAGGGACTTCGGCTGTGGTTAGAATCTCCTGCAAGCGAGCAGCTTCCTCCTTGCTGGGAAGAAGCTGGTCGTCACTCCTGGGGAGAGAACGAGAGAGAGAGAGAGGGGATGGATGGAGAGAAACGTGGAACGGCCTTGTGATACTATCCGTGTCTTTGGCTCAGGTCAGAATCCCCTGCAGCCGACCAGCCTCCTCCTTGCTGGGAAGCAGCTGGTCGTCACTCCTGGGGAGAGAACGAGAGAGAGGGAGAGCAGACGAGAGAGGGGATGGATGGAGAGAAACGTGGAACGGCCTTGTGATACTATCCGTGTCTTTGGCTCAGGTCAGAATCCCCTGCAGCCGACCAGCCTCCTCCTTGCTGGGAAGCAGCTGGTTGTCACTCCTGGGGAGCAGAGAGGGAGCAGTGAAGTGGAATAAGGGAGTGATTGATAAGGCAAGGCAGTGCTTTTGAGTCGACTCAAAATAAGGCAAGGCAGTGCTTTTGAGTCGACTCAAAATAAGGCAAGGCAGTGACCGCGGGGATTCTGGCTCTGGTCGGAATATCCTGCAGCCGACCAGCCTCGTTCTTGCTGGGAAGCAGCTAGCCAGCGCTCCTGGGATAGTGAGATGGGGAGTAAATGAGAGAGGGAGAGATGGGACATAAGTGATGGCATGACGGCGGCATAAGGAATCTGGCTCTGCTGATAATCTCCTTAAAACCGACAACCCTTGTCAAGGCATTTTGAGACGCCTCATAAGGAAATTGGCTCTGCTCATAATCTCCTTCAGCTGACAACCCTTGTCAAGGCAGCTCTATCTCCAACGTGTTTTGCGTGTGGCACGAATGACAATGACCCCTCACATACACACAGACGCGCAGGCACGAATAAACGCACGCACGCACAAACAAGCGCACACACGCACCCACTCACCTGGCAATGATGAGTGGGTGAAAGGGAGCAACCCATTCACTTCACGGCGCGCGAGTGAAAGGGAGCAACCCATTCACTTCACGGCGCGCGAGTGAAAGGGAGCAACCCATTCACTTCACGGCGCGCGAGTGAAAGGGAGCAACCCATTCACTTCACGGCGCGCGAGTGAAAGGGAGCAACCCATTCACTTCACGGCGCGCGAGTGAAAGGGAGCAACCCATTCACTTCACGGCGCGCGAGTGAAAGGGAGCAGAGGCTCTGTGAAGGCAGAGCCTGTTTGCAGCAGGCGTTTCAGAGTGAATCAGGGAGGAAAGGGGCTACATAAGAAGGAATATACCTTCACAACCACACACATACCCGGCAATAATGAGTGTCGGTGCGCGAATGGACGAGAGCAGAGGCTCTGTGAAAGCAGAACCTGTCTCCAGCAGGTGCAGCTTCCACTCCAGCGTGGCTTGTGGGAGCAATTCTGTGAGGAGCTGTGTAGAGTGCATAGGGGGCATATGGATTGAGAAGGAGGATTAAAGGAAAGAACGCACTGCCTGCCTCTACCAGGTGCAGCTTCCACTCTAGCATGGCTTGAGAGAGCAATTCTGTGGGGAGCTGTAAGGAGCATGGGGGGCATGGGGGTAACGGATTGGCCAAGGGAACAACGCACCGCCTGCCTCCACCAGGTGCAGCTTCCACTCTAGCATGGCTTGAGGGAGCAATTCTGTGGGGAGCTGTAAGGAGCATGGGGGGCATGGGGGTAACGGATTGGCCAAGGGAACAACGCACTGCCTGCCTCTACCAGGTGCAGCTTCCACTCTAGCACGGCTTGAGGGAGCGTTTTTATGAGGAGCTGGATGAGAGGTGTAGGGGGCATGGGAGGCACGGGGAGTGTGTGTGAATATATGAAGGGCCAGCCGAAGGGTTTCAGGTTTTGGGTTTAGAATATGTGAAGGAATGCAGAGCACAGCTTGTTTCCAGCAGGTGTGAAGCGTCAAGGGAGATGAGGTGAAAGGTGAGAGGAGCAGGAAACAAGAGTGGCTTACAGGCAGAGAGAGAGGGCAGCAGGCTGAACAAGATTGTCCCTTAGCTTCTCCAAGCGATCCAAGGGAGAGGCGTCAAGGGGGGAGAGGTATCAATAGAAGAGATATCAGCTGAGAGAGGGAGCAGATTACAGGGAGGGAGGGCAGCAGGCTGAGCAGATTATCCCTTAGCTTCTCCACGCGATCCAAGGGCGAGAAGTCATAAGGGAAGAGGTGTCAAGAGGAGAGGTCAAGGGGGAGAGGGAGCAGCAGCAGAGGGAGTGGCTTACAGGCAGGGACGGAATAAGGCCGAGCAGATTGTCTCTTAGCTTCTCCACGCGATCCAAGAGAGAGGCATCAAGAGGTAGACCGCCAGATGCTATGCGGATTGGGTTCACTGAGAGGCAATAAGGGAGGGAGAGAGAGCGGGAGAGAGGGAGGGGAGGAAAGAAGATTGTTCCTTAGTTTCTCCAAGCAGTCCAAGGGAGAGGCGTCAAGAGGTAGACCACCAGATGCTATGCGGATTGAGTTCACTGAGAGGCAATAAGGGAGGAAGAGAGAGCGGGAGAGAGGGAGGGGAGGAAAGCAGATTGTTCCTTAGTTTCTCCAGCAGTCCAAGGGAGAGGCGTCAAGAGGTAGACCACCAGATGCTATGCGGATTGGGTTCACTGAGAGGCAATAAGGGAGGAATAGGGGGAAGGGAAAAACAGAGGAATGTGGGGTTTGAGCGAGGAACAGAGGGGAGTATTTTCTGAGACTTTTCAACTCAACAGATGAAAGGAAGCCCAGAGGCTTGTGAACATACCTATGGCGAGGCTGAAGAGGAAGGGGAGAGCAGAGTAGGCCTCTGACGGGACGCTCTTGAGCAGAGGAATGAGAGGCTGGAGGGAGGAGCGGGGGAAGCTGGTGGCTGGGGAATACGCAAGGGAAGAAGATGAAAGAGGATGAGTAAACGAAGCATGGAAGGCACTGGGGGAAGGTGAGAAAGGTTATTCTGAACACTCCTTTGAACACGCCTCATGATGGATGGACCTCCTAGTAGACAGCCTTTAGCAGAGGCATGAGGAACATGCCTTTAGAGGGATGCGTGTTAGCACAGGAATGAGTTGTTGGCAAGAAAAGAAACAAGCGAGGAACGAGGCCGATGGGTAAGGAGGGGTTTCATACACCCACTGTTGCAGCCAGAGCAGAATCTCTCTAGTGCCTGCCACACTACAAGACCTTCGTTTCTCACCTGAGTTGGTCAGAACGAGGCTGCGTGGCAAGTTGCGTGGGGTTTCTTGCTGCGGCGAGGAGAGCATGCCTTAGAGGCACCTCAGGACAGAGCCTGCATCAGCACAGGACGATGACCTGATGGGCAAGGAGGGGTTTCGTGCTTCTTACCCACCTGAGTTGATGAGGACGAGGCTGATGGGCAAGGAGGGGTTTCGTGCCGCCACTGCTGCAGCCAGGAGAGCAGCTAACGACTCCCCCACGAGAAAGAGACGAGTCAGCCCAATATTGAGCTGGGAGTACCCAACTACCATACCATACCAGGCCTAGTGGTATCTAGTGGCACCTAGTGGTGGTACCTAGTGGTGGTATCTAGTGGTGGTATCTAGTGGTGGTATCTAGTGGTGGTACCTAGTGGTGGTATCTGTATCTAGTGGTGGTATCTAGTGGTACCTAGTGGTACCTACCATCACACCAGAGACAGGCCTTCGGGTCTCACCAGAGTTGATGAGGACGAGGGTGATGGGCAAGGAGGGGTTTCGTGCCGCCACTGCTGCAGCCAGAAGAGCACCAAACGACTCCCCCACGAGAAAGAGAGGCCGGCTAGGCGACTGCTCGTGCTCTTGCAGCACCTCAGCCTCCACGAGTGACAGTAGGCCTGGGAAAGGATGGCGCAGGAGGGAGAGGTGAGAAGGGTGGAACGGGGAAGAGGCGCGTGCATGCCTCCTGGGTGGGCGACTGCTCGCGCTCGTGCGCTTGCAGCACCTCAGCCTCCACGAGTGACAATAGGCCTGGGAAAGGATGGCGCAGGAGGGAGAGGTGAGAAGGGTGGAACGGGGAAGAGGCGCGTGCATGCCTCCTGGGTGGGCGACTGCTCGTGCTCGTGCTCTTGCAGCACCTCAGCCTCCACGAGTGACAGTAGGCCTGGGAAAGGATGGCGCAGGAGGGAGAGGTGAGAAGGGTGGTACGGGGAAGAGGCGCGTGCATGCCTCCTGGGTGGGCGACTGCTCGCGCTCGTGCGCTTGCAGCACCTCAGCCTCCACGAGTGACAGTAGGCCTGAGAAAGGATGGCGCAGGAGGGAGAGGTGAGAAGGGTGGAACGGGGAAGAGGCGCGTGCATGCCTCCTGGGTGGGCGACTGCTCGTGCTCGTGCTCTTGAAGCACCTCAGCCTCCACGAGTGACAGTAGGCCTGGGAAAGGATGGCGCAGGAGGGAGAGGTGAGAAGGGTGGTACGGGGAAGAGGCGCGTGCATGCCTCCTGGGTGGCCGACTGCTCGTGCTCGTGCTCTTGCAGCACCTCAGCCTCCACGAGTGACAGTAGGCCTGGGAAAGGATGGCGCAGGAGGGAGAGGTGAGAAGGGTGGTACGGGGAAGAGGCGCGTGCATGCCTCCTGGGTGGGCGACTGCTCGTGCTCGTGCTCTTGCAGCACCTCAGCCTCCACGAGTGACAGTAGGCCTGGGAAAGGATGGCGCAGGAGGGAGAGGTGAGAAGGGTGGAACGGGGAAGAGGCGCGTGCATGCCTCCTGGGTGGGCGACTGCTCGTGCTCGTGCTCTTGCAGCACCTCAGCCTCCACGAGTGACAGTAGGCCTGGGAAAGGATGAATGCGGAGGGGCAAGGAGTGTAAGAAGAGAAGAGAGGTGCGCAGAGCATGGGTGTTGAAAGCAACAACTGTAGGCGACTGCTCGTGCTCTTGCAGCACCTCAGCCTTCGTGGTCTGGGAATGATCGAAGGGGTGGGGGAAGGGGGGAAATATTGGAAAGAGGTGGTGCATGCGCCAGCCCATAGCCAACCCATCCAAACACCCACAGATGCATGCACGCTCCGGAACTTAGAGCGTACCTTGGAAGTTGGTCTGGTCAGACAGCGGTATGTGCAGGCACGCCACTTCAAACAGCCGCCCCAGGGACCTGTGATGCAGCTTGAGTCCGTAGCCCACCCCATCCAAACACCCACTGATGCATTCATGCGTCCACGCTCTGAAACTTGGAGCATACCTTGGAAGTCAGTACGATCGGATAATGGTATGTGCAGGCAGGTCACTTCAAACAGCCGCCCCAAGGACTTGTGATGCAGCTTGAGCCCGTAGTCAACCCCATCCAAACACCTACATGACACATGCATGCACACCCATGGACTTGAAGCATGTACCTTGGAAGTCGGTTCTGTCAGACAGCGGAATGTGCAGGCACGTCATTTCGAACAGGCGCCCCAGGGACTTGTGATGCAGCTTGAGGCCACACCCAATCCCATCCACGCCAGGGAGAAACAGCAGGCGTGGGAGAGATTCTCCTGTCTGCTGCTGCTGCTCTGCTGTTGGTGGCCTGGCGTCTAACGGACAGAAGAACCGTGGTACTGCTGCTGCTGCTGCTGCCGCCGCTTCTGTTCCGCTGCTGCTGCCTGTTCTGTTTTGGCTGCTGGTGGTGCTCTGGCCGCCACTGCTCCTGCTGTTATCTTCTCTGCTGCTTCCTAGATCAGGGAGGAAAGGCTTCAGAACATCCGGCATAGGGAGAATCTGTTCTAGAAGGTTCAGCGACTCTGTGGATGGTAAGGGTAACGGTAACGGTAACTGAAACGGATTCTGGAACGGAAATGGTAGCTGTAACCCGTTACCGTCCACCATCCGCCCATCATTATCCCTCCCCGACCCAGGAACCTCCTTGACCCTTGAAGCTCCTGCTGACCCGCTATTAGACGCTCCATCAGATTCAATAAAAGCACGCAGCTCGCCGAGGTAATCGAATATGTCAGGCGCCACGTACTCGCGTCGGACCTGCTCCACTGTAGCATACCTCTTTATTAGCTCATTGACCTCCTGTTGCCGCAATTCGGCGTCTTCCTCACCGTCTCTCGCCGCGGACCCCGGAATCACTCCTCCCTTGCCGTTCAACTGAACAGGTTGCTCATTTTTGTTTGTAACCTGTGAACCAGGAGACTCGGGCTGCGAATCAGAGTCAATGCTGTCGTTTTCCGGGCGGTTACGATCGGTTGAATCGGTGGAAACGGCAGCTGTCGCCACGGGTGCTGAAGACGGTGATTCGTGCAAAGGGGACGGGCTGGATGGTCCGGTGGATCCGCTGGCGGAATCTGACCCGTTGATTGCTCTGACTGACAACTTCCCCCTGCTGTTAAGACCGAATCTCCGAGTCGCTAACCTCCGAGTCGGCACCGCATTGCTACCACTAATGGTCCTACTAGTTCTAGGAACGGTGAATTGCGAGTTTAAGTAAGCTGCACGGAAGGCTCTAGGACTGCGAGCTGGCTGAGCAGTAATTGCGTCGAAAGACGTCGTTGCATGCGTCCCTAACGGAAGAATGCCCGGCTGCGGTGATGGCGATAGGGTTGGAAGGTGCATTTCGAAGGACGATCGGAATGAAGGCCGTGCGAGGAAAACGAATAGGCCGCTCGAATTCAATATGCACACCCGGGTTTCTTCTCTCTAACAACGTTCCGAATCAGCACGGAATAATGTTGTTGTGCTGGAGAAGCTATGTCGTTGTATGGAAACCTACAGAATAGTCATGTTCTGAAGGTGTTCGGTCATGTATGAATTGCCGGATTTGCTCGGAGTGAGTTGTATGGCGACTGGTCAGGAGGGTGATGACTGGAGGAAGCCTGTGGTCAGAGCCCTGCCAGTCCGCCCTGAGCACTAGTCCTCTTCGCATAGTGGTGGTTACCAGAGCCCCACAGCGGCTGGTTCATACCCTCGGCGAAGATCGATTGCGTGTTGGACGAAAGACGTGCAGAAAATGTTGCTTGCGAATCCCAAAGCGATGTTCTTCCCGCCAACACCTGCAAGACACCCACCACGAAAACGAGGCGTGGGGCTTCTTGATTGGTCCAATACTCCAAAAGTGCTGCCAGCTTCGGCTCGGTCTTTCCGCCAAGCCTCCCCTTTGAGCCACCGGTAGGTTCGGAAACATTTTGCTTTGCTCACATAGAATTTCCACATATGTACTATAATCAGTACGGAAAACGAGCCCTTCTTTGACGAAATTGGCGTCACCTTCAAGATTTACATTTTGAAGTTCGGTTGTCCTCTCAAAGCACGTACGCTCCTCGTAGTAGTTTGCTTCGTTGTCACTCAAGCTCGCTGCAGCTCCTATAAAAAGCGCTAGTACGCTCCTCGTAGTAGTTTGCTTCGTTGTCACTCAAGCTCGCTGCAGCTCCTATAAAAAGCGCTAGTACGCTCCTCGTAGTAGTTTGCTTCGTTGTCACTCAAGCTCGCTGCAGCTCCTATAAAAAGCGCTAGTACGCTCCTCGTAGTAGTTTGCTTCGTTGTCACTCAAGCTCGCTGCAGCTCCTATAAAAAGCGCTAGTACGCTCCTCGTAGTAGTTTGCTTCGTTGTCACTCAAGCTCGCTGCAGCTCCTATAAAAAGCGCTAGTACGCTCCTCGTAGTAGTTTGCTTCGTTGTCACTCAAGCTCGCTGCAGCTCCTATAAAAAGCGCTAGTACGCTCCTCGTAGTAGTTTGCTTCGTTGTCACTCAAGCTCGCTGCAGCTCCTATAAAAAGCGCTAGTACGCTCCTCGTAGTAGTTCGCTAAGCTGCTCGCTCAAGTAAAGCTGCTAAGCTCACTACTCTCCGCTAAAGGGCGAAATCAGCAACCTTGCATCTTCTCTTATACTCGTACATTTGAGCCACGACTTGCTAGCAATCCGCGACACCCTTGACGCGAGAGGCGATCGAAACTACAATCGTGGATCTACCGTGTCGGTGTTGGCGCACGTTGATACGAAACTAGTGCTTATCTGGCAGGCAATTAGCGCACGGCGCAGAGTGGAATCTTCCTTGCAACGGCGCGGCTTGAGCTTTGTGTTGAGCACCAGTGGACAGCACGGTGCCGTCATCAGTTTCTACCTCCTGCTACACGAACAACAGATTTGCGAACCCCCTTCCCCCGACGTGCATTTTCGCCTCCCCCCATCAACCCAAATTCCCGCCACTTTGCCAACCTCACATCCGCGCTTGTGCTTCTCCCCAACCACTTTTTGTGACCTTCCTCGCTACACCAACTTCTTCCTTGAAACAAAGACTACACTTTCCACCTCATTTCTTATGCTTCCTTTACCTCCAACATCATTTTGCATGCCACCAGCCCAATACCTTACAGAATGACAGGCCGCAAAAGGGGCCGTGGTGCCCAAGACTCTGAACCCACTTCTCCTCGTCCGCCTGCCCGTTCGCGACAAACTCCAGCCTTCGCGATTCTTTCGACCTCCTCATCAGACCTTGCACCACCCCCTACTCCTAAGCCTCAATCATCTTCTGCTCCCTCCCAGCAACCTCAGCCAACAACAGCGCCAAAAATTGTCTCGGACAAACAAAAGGAGATTCTCCAGCAGGTCCTTAAAGCCACCCTTCCTGATTCTCCGTCTCCATCACGGCCTCAAACCTCTCACCCTCAGCTCTCGACTTCCCGTGCCCATCCTTCATCTACCTCGACTTCCTCGTTCTCGATGCACTTCTCATTCCACTGCGCCGCCTTGCACAACATCCTTCTGACGTCGCTGCACACCTTATTCTCTTGGCATTTCCGCGTCTCCTACTGCGCCTACCTTCTGCCGCTGCTCCCACACAGCCCCTTACCTCTTCATGTGCTGCCTTAGCGCGCCGCTTCATCACTGGTGACTGGCACTCTCTTTTCAGCGAAGCCGTAGCTGCAGCCACTCCAGCCGCTAGACCTCTGCACATGGCTTCAGCACGTTCTACAGCGCAGCAGGCTCGTCTCAACCGTGCGAAGCGGTTTGCAAAATGCGGGGATTGGTCGCGGTCACTGGCAGCACTGGAAGCTGGCGAGCTAGCTCCTCCATCATCAGAAACAGTTGTTGCCCTCAGCTCCAAGCACCCACCTGCTGCAGCAGAGATTCCTGACTGGGTACACACCTTCACTCCTGCAGCCGCACCACAGCTTACCGTCCCTGTTCTCCATGCCGCTCTACAGTCCGCCCCCCGTGGCACAGCTGCTGGACCTTCTGGGTGGTTCATTGAGCACCTCAGGGACACGTTTCTTTCTCACCAGCAGCATCTCCCTTCTCTCCTCCACGTATTCCAGAACTGGCTGCAGGGTGACCTTCCGCCCGCAGTCAGGCCTTTCTACACCGCTTCGAACCTCGTGGCCCTGCAGAAACCGCATGGTGGTGTACGTCCCGTCGCCATTGGGGAAGTGCTACCACGCCTCCTTTCACGCTGCATCACTCTCCTTTTTAAGCAGCAGATGCGAGAGACATTCCTTCCTCACCTTCAATTTGGCGTAGCAGTTCCGGCCGGGATCGAGATTATGTCGCACGCAGTGTGCTCCGCCTTCTCCCTTCATCCAGACTGGGTGGTGCTTCAGCTGGACGTTGCAAACGCGTTCAACTCGTTCAACCGGGTTTCCATGTTTGAGGCATTAAGGCGCTCCCCATTCTCCAGTCTCATTCCCTTCTTCCGCCTATTCTACTCCACCCCTTCACCTCTCCACTACCGCAGCGGCCCCCTTCTCCACACATTCCAATCAGCTTCTGGTGTTCGTCAAGGCGACCCTTGTGGCCCTTTCCTTTATGCCCTAACACAGCAGCTAGCCATCCAACCAACCCAGCAGCAGTCTCCCTCAATTTTCATTACCTCATACGCAGACGTTTCCTACTTGGTCGGCCCTCCCTCAGACGTCTT